AGTTTCTCCATCCATCCATCTGTCCCATTTCTCCATCCATCCATCCAGTTTCTCCATCCATCCATTCATCCGTCCCATTTATCCATCCATCCAATTTCTCCATCCACACGTCCCATTTTTCCATCCATCCATCCAGTTTCTCCATCCATCCATCCATCCATCCGTCCCATTTCTCCCTCCATCCATCTATTCTCTCCTTCTCCCTCTCCCTCTCCCCATCATCTCCTGGGAGAGGGGCAGAGGCTGACTGGGGAGGCTGCAGGGCTTCTGCCCGTCCAGCTGGGGTCCCGGCCTGGTGCCACAGACACACCCTTTGCACACTCGCAGAGTTCAGCTCTCCTGACCAGGGGACCCCAGTTCTTTTTCCACCGGTTGCTGCTGTCTGCCCCGCTTTGACCCCCTCCCCCATGTGGCCTTTTGTGTCCCGGCAGGACGACAACTGGGGCGAGACGACCACCGTGGTGACCGGCACGTCGGAGCACAGCATTTCGCACGATGACATCACGCGCATCACGAAGGACATGGAGGACAGCGCCCACCTGGACTGCTCCCGCCACCTGGGGGTCTCGCTGGCGGGGGCCCTGGCTCTGCTCTCCTTCCTCACCCCCATCGCCTTCATGCTGCTGCCCCAGCTGCTGTGGGGGGAGCAGCTGAGCCCCTGCGGGACCCCCTGCGAGGGCCTCTTCATCTCGGTGGCCTTTAAGCTGCTCATCCTCCTGCTGGGCAGCTGGGCGCTCTTCTTCCGCCGCCCCAGGGCCTTCCTGCCCCGCATCTTCGTCTTCCGTGCCCTCCTGATGGTGCTGGTCTTCCTCCTGGTGGCCTCCTACTGGCTCTTCTATGGCGTCCGCATCCTGGACTCCCGTGACACCAACTACCAGGGCATCGTCCAGTACGCCGTCTCGCTGGTGGACGCCCTGCTCTTTGTCCACTACCTGGCCGTGGTCTTGCTAGAGCTGCGACAGCTCCAGCCCCACTTCACCCTCAAGGTGGTGCGCTCCACCGATGGGGCCAGCCGCTTCTACAATGTGGGGCACCTCAGGTAAGGGCAGCGGAGGGTCAGGGGCTTGGGGGCATTTCGATGCGGTTCAGGGACAGGCGGGGGCGGCTGAGGGAAGCTGGGATGACCCGAGGGCACAGCACAGAGGCAGCCCAGGCAGCTGGCAGTTCAGACTGTTCCTTTATTGCTCCAAATTCCCCCAAATGCTCCCACTCTTTTCTGGCAAGTCCCAGAGCAAAGTGTTGATACTCCTATACACACAAACACCCCTCGAGCAGCCTCTGGCTGCAAATAGTCCAGCCCAACGCTGTGAGCACCACGGCTGCACAGCAAGAACTCCAGCACGGCAGGTCGAGGAATCCAGGAAGCAAAAGAAGCCAGGCAAGTAATCCAGAAATCCAGAAAGAGTGCAAGGAGTCCAGGAAGGTTCAAACGTCTCCTCAACACTCCAGGAATTCAGCGTTTGTTCCCAACAGCGTCTCCTTAAGTCTCGTTCCCCTGGTGTGCCTTATGGAGAGGGGCGGGGCGATCTCCTCCGGAGTCGTTGGGTCAGTCTGTGCTGTGCTCTCTCGCCTTCCGTCCACTCTCTGTGCTCTCAGATCAGGAGGCGGCGGTCCTTTCTCACTGCCTGAGCTCTGTCTCTGAAGTTCACTGCTTAGCCTCGGTTGGTCACCCCTGCCTACAAGTAGCCCCAAATCCTGAAAGGCTCTGGCCTAACTGGGCCTGCTCCTCCCCATTTTCCTCCCAAGGAAACGAAGCTGCCCGCTCAATCTGTCAGCTCCCGTTTGGGCTCGTCGTCTTCCACAGATTCAGGCTCCGACGAGGGGATGACAGTAGCCGCTTTTTGCAATTGAACGATGGGGGTTTTGTCCGTGCCGTTGGTGCTCAATCGGTCCTCCAGGTGTTTTGGGATTGCAACCCAAGATGCTTACGATTATCTTTGCCTGCTTCTGCCACAGTCATTCTATTTCTACAAGTAGTCCTCAGCTTACCACAGTTCATTTAGTGGCAAGTTACAAAAGCGCCAGAAGAAGGGACTTACGGCCACTTTCCACGCACTTAAGACTGTTGCAGCATCCTCACCCTCACATGATTTACATTCGGATACATTTGGCAACTGACTCACATTTATGACGGTTGCAGTGTCCCTTGGTCATGTGATCCCCTTTGGCGACCTTCTGGCAAGGAAAGTTGATGGGGAAGCCAGATGGACTTAGGAACCGGCTTATTCCTTTAAGAACTGCACTGATTTGCTTAACAAAGGTGGCGAGAAAAGTCATGAAATGGGGTGAGACTCACTGAACACATTTCTCACTTAGCAGCATACATTTTGGGGTCGATTGAAGTTGTAAGCTGAGAACGATCCGTATTTGCAGGTTTCCCTGTATTTTGTGGTTTTCTCCGGTCCTTTCTCTTCTGTTGTCTCCAGCGTTATAAAGTCTGCTATCCAGAATTTATATTGTTATTATTATCTGCATTGGATTGGTGGAAGAAGCTGGTGGCCTCCCTCATGTCCAGCTGTGAGACATTAAACTGATCACACTGAAAGCAAATGAGCCAGATTCTGCCTTACAGGTAGTCCTCGAGTTACGTATGGAACGGAGCCTGCCCGTTCCGTTTGTAACCCAAGGATTCGTGGGAGTGAATCTCTTACTTTGAACGGGATCACTCCCTCCTTTTTCCCATGCATTCGTATAATTGCTAATCGAATGTGGGGCTTGTTAAGTGCACAAGAGGTATTTCAGGGTGGGGAAGATCTCGGGGGGGGGGTCTGATGGAACAGACCACCTGCCTAAGACCATCCAAGACCTCCCCGACCCACTAAAATACTTCATGTTCCTCACAATTGCCCTTCCTCACATCCTGCCGCACCAGTCAGTTACCTTGTTCTAGCAAGCAGTCCTCTCTCCAGCCGCTCGATCACGTGTGCTCCTCTGTAGTTCCGTTTGGGCTTCTCTGGGCCTCCCCCGACTTGTTGCAGGCCAAAATGGAGCTTTCGGGGGGTGGATCCATTTTGGCTGGCGATGGGCCAATGGAGACCTTTGGCGGGCTGAATGGAGCATTGGAGGGCCGGATCTGGGCCCCAGGGGCACCATTTCAGCCAGTAATGTGCCAGGCAAGGCCTGCAGAGGCACGACGGAGCGTTGGAGGGCCGGATCTAGCCCTCGGAAGCTCCATTTCGGCCTGCGACGTGTTCTGACCAAGGCTTCCTGAGACCGTAATTAAGCACATGCTTAGTCCAAACAACTTGTGTTATTTCATTGCTGGGCATTCTGTTCATTCCCAGCCCATAATGAGTCCCAAACAGTCCCTTGAGATAAGCACCCACCTGTTTCTCCTTTGAATGGCTGCCAACAGCTAAAGTGCCAAATTAACTGTAAAAAAACCAACCAAAGTACAAAGTCCACACAGAGCTTCAAGAATTAATCTGAACAGAGTGAACAGAGTTGCTTCCTGCAGAGGTTTCTCTACCTTTGCCTGTCCTTTATCCCTTAAGGAAGGGGCTATCACCTCCCAGCCATACTCCCGAGTCGTCCCTTTTGTCTCAGCTGCTCTTGCCTTCTGGCAGCTCTACGCGAACTGGAAACAGGCTCCCCTTGTTCCTCTGCCTCACTGCTGCCAGGCTCCAGAGGCTGCACTCCCTTCCCAGATGGTCCCGGCCCCATCTCTGCATCGGACGCAGGACCCTCGTCCGAGTCCTCTCCAGACTCCCGGACTGGTCCCTGTTCTTCCCCACTGGCCGATTCCACTGCTGTCTGCACAGGCTCCTGGCGGACCACAACACAACATGCAGGATGAATGTCCTCTGCGGTTGTTCGTAAGGGCAAACAACTGCTGTTGGTGCTGCAATACTCATAGTTAAGTGCTAGGGAGCACTTAATCACATAACTTCAAATGTTCGCTAAGGGAACGCTTGTAACCCGGGGATTACCTGTATTGTGTTGTGTAACTGGATCCTTCGGTGATCGATCTGGTTACCGTGTCGTGTCCGACTAAAGCTGGATCTAACGCTTCCTTTCTCTGCAGCATCCAGAGAGTCGCTGTGTGGATCCTGGAGAATTATTACCACGATTTCCCCGTCTACAACCCGGCACTGCTGAACCTGCCCAAGTCAGTTCTGTCTAAGAAAATGTCTGGCTTCAAGGTCTACTCGCTTGGTGAAGGTAAGCGTTGGCAGCCTCTTGCGAAGGCTGTGGGATCTTGTCTACAGACGAGAATCTTCTCCTCCGGCTCTCAAGCTTAGCTTTCAAGAGGCAGAGGCTTCAACCAGCACTCCTGGAGATTTAACTTGATCTCTGGGTTCTTGGACCAGGGTGAGCGTGATCTGTGTCAAGATCACCTGAAGTAGAGAGTATCTTAACTTACTGCACCTCTGTATGGTTCACCAGTTGCACAGGGGCAGATAGGACGGCGCTCCAGAGGGTGAACGTCATTGCCCAGAGGATCACTGGTTGCCCTCTCCCTTCTTTGGAAGAGCTTTATAGCTCCCGCTGCCTTAAGAAAGTTCAAAACATCCTCAAAGATCCATCTCATCCTGGGCAACCCCTTTTTTTGAACTATTACCATCTGGCAGCAGGTACAGGAGAATAATAAAAACAAGGACAAATAGGCTGAAAAACAGCTTCTATCCCAGGGCAGGAGCTCTTTTGAATTCTACTGTAGACTGCAATATGAATGCAATATCCGAGGTTTCCCATTCAATGTATAGAATGTGAAGGATGTGTGTTTATGTTTTATTTTTATAGTCATAATGTACACTGAAGATGGTATTTACTTTTGTGGTAATGAGGTGCAATGACAATAAAGTAAAAGTTAAACTAAACTAAACTAAACTAAACTTTCCTAACAGTAAGAATAGGTTAACTAGTGGAATTTGGATGCTCCCATCATTGGAGGCGTCTTTAAAAACTGGACATCCATTTGTCTGAAATGGTATAGAGCAGGGGGTTGGACTAGAAGATCTCTAAAGTCCTTTCCATCTCTGTTATTCTGCTGACTTTTGGCTTCATGCAAGGAAAGCAGCAGAAGCCACAGAAGTCTTTCTTTCTCTTCCCCCAAACGCCACCAGAAATGAGTTATTGTGAGACTTGTCGTACCGGCGCAGCCTCTTGGAGCAGGAGAGGCCTTGCAGGGTCCCAAAGTCTCATTTCTGGCGGAGTTTGGGGGAGAGAAAGAGAGACTTTGGCTGCTTTCCTTTCCTGCAGCCAAAGGCAGAAGAAGAAAGAAGCGGAAAGAAGCAGCCCGGTGGCCAGGCCAGGCGCGTGGGGCAAGTTCTCCCCCCACTGCCCTTTCCCCCCTCCCCTCACTACTTCATGTTGTTCCATTGGTCTTCCCTCTCCCTCCTGACTCCAGAGAACACAACCAACAACTCAACCAGCCAATCGCGGGCTGTTATCGCAGCCGCCGCCCGCAGACGGGACAACAGCCACAACGAGTACTACTACGAGGAAGCAGAACACGAGCGCCGGGTGCGCAAGCGGCGAGCCAGGTGGGTCTCATCAAAAGGGCCTCTGTGTGTGTGCGTGTGCGTGTGTGTGTGTGTGTGTGTGTGTATGTGTGCCAGCTGACCAAAAACAGAAAACACCCAGCTCAGGTTCCCGCAGCGGGAAGATTCTTGACGGCTCAAATTGAACCGTAGTCGCCGTGTGGATTCTTGAGTTGGTTGGGCAGAAAAATCCCTCGGATCAGCTCCGCTTTCAAGGAAATGGCCCAATTTGGCTTTTGGAGGTGTCCATTTTATTTCTTCCTGGAATTTATTTGATGCCTGTCCCTTATCCAGTGAGATCCTTAAGGATTAATTGGCTTCGGCTTTAGAATTTGATTTGGAAAACTGGGCGGGGCCCTTGGTTGATCCCTGAGCTGGGTTATTTCCTGGCAGGCGTTCCCTTACCCAACTAGCTACTAGTAGCTGCTAGCACTGTTGCCTCTTCCTCCTCCCCCCAGCCCCTCTCCCTTCTAGCTGATGATGTTACCTAGTTGGGTCATGAAATGTCTGCAAAGCCTCACTCCCTTCTAGCACTGATGGTGTTACTTAACTGGGTAATGAAATGTCTGCAAACAACCACCACCACCACCACCAACCTCAGAGCTTAACCTCAAAGCTAAGCTGCAAATATTCTCTTTTTTTATCAACGTGGAAAACCAATTCAGTCTCGGCTGGACTGGCTCTTAGGCCTCCGAGCTCCACGCAGGCTGCTGTCCCGAGTAATAGGATTAACATTAAGCTGAGGAGAGCTGCAACGTGCTTTCCACACCACAGTTGTTGCAAGCAGATTAGAAGCAGATTAGAATGCTGAACGACATCTATTGCACTGTCAAAATGCTGGAAATCCTAGCGGGGTGCAAATTGGAGAGGGTGAAGTAAGTCCAGGTAATCCGTTAGAGAAGTTACGGAGAAGACTGTCCTTCCCCAGCATCTCTTTAGAATTAGAATAGAATAGAATGGACTTGGAATAGAAATAGGAATAGAAAATGGGAGTAGAATAGAATACAAGAGAGGAATAGAAGAGAGGAATAGGAATAGAATTAGAATAGAATAGAAATAGAATAGAATAGAATAGAATAGAATAGAATAGAATAGAATAGAATCAAATAGAATAGAATAGAATCAAATAGAATAATAGAATAAAATATAGAATAGAATAGAGAATCAAATAGAATAGAATCAAATAGAATAATAGAATAGAATAGGAGAATCAAATAGAATAGAATATAGAGTAGAATCAAATAGAAGAATAGAATAGAATAGAGAATCAAATAGAATAATAGAATAGAATCAAATCAAATCGAATCGAATCGAATAGAAGAATAGAATAGAGAATCAAATAGAATCATAGAAGAATAGAATAGAGAATCAAATAGAATAATAGAATAGAATCAAATCAAATCAAATCGGAATAGAATCAGATAGAATCAAATCAAATCAAATAGAAGAATAGAATAGAATAGGGAATCAAATAGAATAATAGAATAGAATCAAATCAAATAGAATAGAATAGAATAGGATCAAATAGAATAGTAGAGTAGTAGAATAGAATAGAGAATCAAATAGAAAGAATAGAATCAAATAGAATAGAATAGAATATAGAATAGAATAGAATAGAATAGAATAGAATAGAATTCTTTCTTGGCCAAGTGTGATTGGACACACAAGGAATTTATCTTTAGTGCAGAAGCTCTCGGTGTACAAAAAAAATGCCTTCATCAAGAATCATAAGGTACAGCACCTAGTGATAGTCATAGGATACTAAATAAGCAATCAAAATCATACTGGAAAACTAAATAAAACAATATAAATCGTAAACTTGCAAGCCACAAGGTTATAGTCATAAGTGGGAGGAGATAGGTAATAGGCAGGATGAGAAGAAGAATACTAATACAATCCTAGCAAATAGTTCTGACGTTGTTGTGGGAATTTGTTCCTCTCGTTTTGGGGTCCTTCTTCCTTCCCTCTGCGGGCAGAAATTCAGATGAGATTTTGGGTCTGTGTCTGTGCCACGGTGGGCAGCTTCATCTGTGCTGAAGGTGGATTTCCATCCTTTTCTCCCTCCTGGTTGGTCCTTGGGGAGGAAGGGGCCAGGCCTTGGAGACTGTGGCTTGCTAGGACGGGGCTCTCCTCATCTCTGCAGGCTGGTGGTGGCCGTGGAAGAGGCCTTCACCCACATCAAGCGGCTGCAGGAGGAGGACCAGAAGAACCCCCGGGAAATCATGGACCCCCGGGAGGCCGCCCAGGCCATCTTCGCCTCCATGGCCCGGGCCATGCAGAAGTACCTGCGCACCACCAAGCAGCAGCCGTACCACACGATGGAGAGCATCCTTCAGCACCTGGAGTTCTGCATCACCCACGACATGACGCCCAAGGTAGCCGGGCGGGGAGGGGAGGCAGGGAGGGGGACCACGACTGCAGGGAGCAGCTGGGGGCTTCCATCACGGGTCCCCCTGCTCTGGGTTGAACCATTCTATAGAAAGGAGGGGTCAGCCTTAGCAGGTAGGCCAGGCAGGAAACTGGCCCAGGTCAGCTGATTCTACCTTATAAGGACGCAGGGTCTGCGATGCTGAGCTTGCGGGTGCCAGGGAATCCACAGATGCGTCACCAGGGGGCGCCCAAGGACCTAATCGAAAGACGGGTAATATTTAATAACTCGAGTCGATTTGATCACCAGATCTTAGCCCAGGGGTCTTCCAGCCTTGGCCACTTGAAGACTTGTGGACGTCAACTCCCGGAATGACCTACAAGGTCCCTTCCAACTCGGCTGATCTGTAAACAGTTGAGGGGGAACCAGGAATATCTAGCATGAGAAAGAGAAGGGATAGGAGTGACATAATACAATCTTCCAGTATTTGAGGGGCTGCCACAGAGAACTTTATTCTCCAAAGCCCCTGAAGAGTTTTTGCACTTTTGCACGTGCAAAAAAACTAGATCCGGCTAGTTCCTTTCGGAAGATTCCTGCCTGCCTTCTGATTTCCCCCCTCCCTAAAACATCCGGGCCTCCCCCCCCCCCCCGCTCTTCCCAATACAAAGCAGCTCGTAGTGGGTTTTCCAGTTCACACACACACACCCCTTCACCCCCAAATTCCTGATTGGCTGAGGACCCATCACCCAGTAGAGCGATGATGTCACTCTTGAGGCAGTGTCCTCAACCGCAGCCACTTTTCAGATGGGTGGAACTCCCAGAATTCCCCAGCCAGCCATGCTGGGAGTTGAAGGTCCAGCCGTCTTAAAAGTGGCTGCAGCTGAGAAACTCATCTTTAAAGTATGTTGTCTTTGGGGTCCTAAGATGACTTTGCAGCTCAGTTTTCAGGAATATATATATTTTTAAAACGTCACCAAAATGCCCCTGCAGTTTTTCTGCTGGGTTTTTCGACAGCTGTTTCCTTTTAATCTAATGTGGGGTTTTGGGGGGCTTAAATGTCGGACTCTCCAGGGGAAGATCTGATAGGGGTGGCAATTGGGGTGCTCGGCTGGGGTTGGGGCTGCTGGCCTCATTGTGGGGGGCGGCGGTCCTGCATTGAGGAGGTGAAGATTGGGGTGGAGAGGCCTCCGAGTATATCACTGTGATTCACCTTTTTAAAATAATTTTAATTCTTGGGAGAGGAACTGGCCGCAGTAAGGGATCTTTTTTGAAATTGCAGTGATGATGGTTTTGCTTTGAACCAAACTGGTCTTAAAAGCCTTTACAACAAGGGGTCTCACAACTTTGGAGACGTGTGGGACTTCAACTCCCAGAATTCCTTAGCCAGCTTTGACCACTTGATTTACTTTGCTGGCCAAGGAATTCTGGGAGTTGAAGTCCCACCCGTCTTCCAAGTTGCCAAGGCTGTGAGAACCCTACTTTACAACCTCATCAGAATATTCCAAGTTAAATCACAGTGTTGGCTTTGGGGAGGGGGAAAATGCCTTTTAAAAAATAAATCCATGCTGACATTGGCGCTTGCAGTATATTTATATATTTATATCTTCTCCTTTTCCCTGCTGTAACATCCCCCAAAGGGAGCAAGTGGTGGGAGACCAGCCCGATCTCCCTTCACAGAGAAGTTTCCGGTACAGGTAGTCCTCGACTTACAACCATTTGTTCAGTGCCTGTTCAAAGTTATGACGGCTCTAGAAAAGTGGCTCATGTCCTGTGCACAACCGTTGCAGCATCCCTGGGATGGAATTCTACCGGTTTGAACCGGTTTTATAGACCTGGTTGTTAGGATTTTGCTGGGTTCGGAGAACCGGCAAATTGTGCCCCTGGCTGGCCCCGTCCCTCTTTGCCCGCTTCTCCCCTCCCTTATCGGGCATGGGCGACATTGCTGGCTGTATTCTCTCTCACTCGTCCCGCCCAGTCGCTCCTTAAGATATTTCTTTTTTCTGCCGACGATCAGCTGTTCCAGGATCCCATTTGCTGTCATACTAGTTGGCCCAGGAGGCAAAAAAGGGGCACGTGGGGGGAGGGGGAAGCTGCGCCCCCCTGCTCCATTTTTTTGCCAGGAGGAAAAAAAATGGGCGGGGGCTGCAGAAAAAAGCCATGCCCACCTCGCCACGCCCACAGAAGCAGTTTAAAAATGTGAATCCCAGCCCTGCAACCTTCTCCACGTGATCAGAATTGGGATGCGTGGCAACTGGCATGCGTTTTATGTCGGTGGCACTGTCCTCGGGGTTCCGTGATCACCACGCGTGGTCTTCCCAGCAAGCAGAACCAGGTTCGCTTAATGACCACTTGATTTACGTGACGACCGCAGGGGTTGGTTTACCAACGGTGGCAAAAGTGTCGTAAAATCGGCCGCAGCTCACGTAACCCAGTCTTAGCGATGGAAATTTGGGGCTCCGTTGCGGTCGTAAAGTTGAGGACCACCGATAGATGCCTTGGCAGATCAAAGGTTCAAAAGTCCCTCTTGGTTGCTACGCAGGCGCCAGCCGTGGTTTTTCTGAGCAGGTGCCCACCAGGTGAGGTCTTACACCTTTGCAGCCTTTAACAGTGCAGTCTCTCTCGGCTGTGTCTGTGTCCCCCTCCTGAAGAGAAGAGAAGGTGGAAGGGACCTTGGAGGTCTTCTAGTCCAGGCCCCTGCTCAAGCAGGAGAACTATACTATGTCAGACAAGTGACTGTCCGGTCTCTTAACTTCCAGTAATGGAGCACCCACAATTTCTGGCGGCAGGCTGTTCCACTGGTTAATTGTCCTCGCTCTTGGAGTCTTAGTGCAGCCAAAAAAGCCAGTGCAATTCTAAGCTGCATTAACAGAGGGATACAATCAAGATCAAGGGAGGTACTAATATCACTCTATAAAGCCTTAGTAAGACCACACTTAAGAGTCCTGCATCCAGTTTTGGTCACCACACTATAAAACAGAGATTGAGACTCCGGAAAGAGTGCAGAGAAGAGCAGCCAGGATGATGAGGGCTCTCTGGAGATTAAAACATACGATGAACGGTTACAGGAACTGGATTTGGCTAATCTAGGGAAGAGAAGGACCAGGGGAGACAGGAGAGCAGCCTTCCAATATCTGAGGGGCTGCCCCAGAGAGGAGGAGGAAGGGGGTCAAGATAATCTCCAAAGCACCTGAAGGCCAGAGAAGGAATAATGGATGGAAACTGACCAAGGAGAGACTCAACCTGGAAATAAGGAGAAATTTCCTGACAGGGAGAACAATCAACCAAGAGAACAGAATTTTCTTCAGAAGTTGTGGGAGCTTCATCACTTGGAGGCTTTCAAGAAGAGACTGCACTGCCATCTTTCAGAAATGGAGTAGGGTCTCCTTCTTGGGCAGGTGGTTGGACTAGATGACCTCCAAGGTCCCTTCCAACTCTCTTAATCCCATCCAGGGGATTTCAGGCCCTTCAAAGCAGTTCGCACCCAGATCTTGGAGCCATAGAAGGGATCGGTTTCTTAGAGGGGTTGTTAAAGAGGGTCCACCAGAGATCTATTCTTTATTTTGGGTGGTGGCGTCCTGGTTTAGAGCTGTGCTGGCTGGGGAATTCTGGGAGTTGAAGTCCACAAATCTTAAAAGTTGTCAAGGGTTGGACACCCTGCTTTAGAGCAATCTTGGGGTGGCTTTTAGACAACAAAAGTTGATAACAGGATAAAAGTTTCCCCTAGTCAGTTGCACTTGGAAAAACACAAGTCCTTGACTTACAACCATGACTAGGAAAAATTGGTCGTTAAGTGAGGCATCACGTGACCATACCTGACTTTTACGACCTTTCTTTTTTTTTGCCATGGTTGTTAAAATGGAATCAGTGTTTGTTAATAAAGCAGGCATCTCATGACTGGAAATTGCAACCTTCTCTGTCGGCTTCCCTATCAACTTTGCTTGCGTCAGACACCGGCTGGGACGGTCACAAGTGTGAATCATGTGGCCTCAGGATGTTGCAACCGTTGTATGTGTGAATTGGTTGCCAAGAACATGGATTGTGATCACACGATCATGGGGACACTGTCATGGTTGTAAGTGCAAGGACCACCATATGATCGTTCAGCAGCACGGTTGTAGCTTAGTCACTGTGATGACCCAAAGGGGCGTGGCACAAAGGCAGCACCGTCAAATAAGCAAGAAGAGTCCCTTTATTATCTCCAACTTTGCCCCCAACGTCCAGGTTACCTTCAGCTGGAGAAAAAACACTCCCAAGAACAGTCTTTAACGGCAGAAAATTCAGTCCAAAACATGGTCAACACAAACTGTAACTTAAAGTCCAATCAAGCAAAACTGAGGTAATTAGTTTGGCAGGGCAGAAACAAGAATTTCAGACTTGAAAACATGGCAACGCTCACACAATTGGGAAGATGCCAGGAACACAAATAAGCCACAACAATACAAGATAAATTTACGATTTGCTCCCAACAACTTGCTGTGGGCAGCTTCCTCTTTTATACACTGTGTTCCCAGCTGCAGCTAATGAAGGGAATCGGGGCCCTTTCCTCCCCCGTAAGCCATGCAACTCATGTTACTCCCTTCTCCGTTCCTCCCTGCGTGGCCTAGGATGAAGAGGGGGTGGGCCTGGGTCTTTGAACTCCCTCTCCCTTGTTCTACCTCTCCCCTGCTCTGCCCAACTGGGCTTTGCCCTTACCCCGTTTCCTCCACAGCCAACAGAGCCCCATTCCCACTTCCTGTCAGCTGCTCGGCCTCCCCCTCCGAATCAGATTCTGACAGGCATGACAGTCACTAAATAAGTCGTAAGTCAAGGACTATCTATAGAAAATTTCTAATCTTCACAGGGGATGGGACAGGGGGTCTTGTATTTGTAGCCCATTCTTGATCCTCTTAAAATTTGAAAGCACATCCAGGTCTGGTCTCTTGAGAAGTAACTTCACTCTGCCACTTTCATCTCATTTTAAGACTTGGTGGTTTAGTAGGGGGGAAAAGAGTTCAAGGGACCATCATCCCCTCCCAGACTGGAAGTATTCAAACAGGCCACTTTTCTCCTTAGCTCAAACACACACACGAATTTAGGAAACCATTTTCTGATGTCGTCCCCTCCCCGCCCCCCAAAAATAAAAGCAGAGGAACCTTGTGCATGCATGTAGAAAATTGTAAAATGTAAATTTTTTTTAATATATAAAATTTTGTTTTTACAGTTTGCAGTGGTACTAAGCATTACAACAATGTTAGTCAAGAGGAGTTTTTTTTTTCCATAAATAATAGAAAGTAAAATTGTACATTTTTTTCTAAAAAAAAAATAAACATCTTTTGGAGTTTTGGGTATTCTGTTCTGTCTGGCCTGGTGATGTTTTCAGGAAGTGGGGGGGAAGCGGCTTGTGGAATGAATGGTCCCTGGCTTGAAAGCATCCACGGATACAGAGGAATTTGGACAACTATTTGTCTGGGATGGCACAGGGCCGTGATGGTGAACCTGTGGCATGCATACCAGAGCCCCCTCTGTCGACATGCGCAAGGTCACCAGCTGCTTTTCTGGTTTCTGTTGCGCACATGCGTGCCGGCCAGCTGGTCTTTGTGGGTGCCGGAGCGCCTGAAAACAGCCCCCAAAACAGGTCATTTTCTGGGCTGTTTTCAGGGCGATTTTCAGGCTGTTTTGCTTGGCTGTTTTCAGACTGATTTTCAGCCTGAAAATGTCCCGAAAAAAACAGCTGGAAAATGCCCCCCCCCAAATGGCCAAAAAGCAAGCATGCACACACCTGCCAGGTGGTCTTCAGGTTTCCAGCACACCTCCATGCATGCATGTTCCGGTTTGGGCCCTCGATGCCAAAAAGGTTCACCATCGTTGGCGAAGGGTCTCCTTGAGTAGGGGGTTGGACTAGAACCGGGGTGAAACGCGCAGCCCGAGGGCCAGAGGCGTCATGTGCTGGCCACACCCCGGTCCCCTCCCGGTTTAGCAAAGGGGGGGAAAAGTTCCAATACGTGACGATGTTGACAGACCAAAAACCGACCGTGGGGTTTTTTAAGAGGCTACTATGGAATGCCGGGTGTATCTTCCCTAACAATCGGGGCAATTTCAATTGCACCTTGACTGGGTTGATAATCTTTTCTATGGGGAATGGTCCTATAAACTTTGGCCTCAGTTTCTGGCTAGGGAGTCTTAACCTCAGATATTTGGGGGTGAGGTAGACCTTCACCTGGAACGGCCATTGCGGGACTCGGTGTCTGCCTGTTTCTTATAAGTCTGCGCTGCTTTAGCACTTTTTTTTAACATTCTCCCAAGTTGCTTTCAGTGTTGACGTCCAATTGGTTAAGCTGACTGAGGAGGGAGGATCCCTTGGATACTCGGGCACTGGGACGAAGTCCATACCTGTTGTGGTTCACCGGGCAGCCTGCACAGGTGGCAGCAGAATCAGACAGTTGGGAAGAACGGGGACCAGTCCAGGAGTCTGGGGAGGAATCGGACGAGGGTCTTGCGTCTGGTGCAGAGATGGGGCCAGGGCCTGAGTGGGATGCTGCCTCCGGAGCCTCCAGAATCTGACAGCAGCGAGGCAGAGGAACAAGGGGAGCCTGTTCCCAGTGCGTGCATGTGCAGAGCTGCCAGAAGGCAAGATCAGCTAAGACAAAAGGGTGACTTGGGAGTAAGGCTTGGAGGTGATTGGCCTCTCGCATAAGACATAAAGGAGGCGCAAAAGGACAGGAATCTTTGCAGGAAGCAACTTTGTTCGTACTGGTCGGTTTGAAACCTGAAGCTCTGTTGAATTTGTGCTCCGTTTTGGCTTCATATAACTAATTGGTTGGCAGCATTTCAAGGAAGATAAAGGTGCGTGCTGATCAGCCTTATCCCAAAGGATTTCAGCAACACCCACCCACCCCCCAATTTGTGCTCAGATGAAAGGCCAAGTTTAGGCCCTGGGATGACCCAATGGACCACAGGAGTTTGGCACCCCTGGACTAGATCTCCAAGGTCCCTTTCAACTTTTTTTTTTATTTTTAAATGGGTTGCTTTTGCCAAGAAGAGCGAGCCAAGGTGACATGCTTTCAGTTCACTTTCCAAATGATCAGGCAACAAATCCACCCCCAGTAGCTTTTTAGAAATGGTAAAGACAGTATTCAGAGGTAAGAATGGGGTTTCCTGTCTTGCCAGCAAACCTCCCCCAAAATATTCCAAGATTGCATGTCACCATTTTCCTTCTTAAGAAATTTCGACCCATAAAGATCCTTCAACAAGGACCATCATAATTGCTCTCCTGCTCATAAAAGTAACCACTGAATTTGACATGTACTGGATTTGCAATTCACTGTTAGCTTAAGTTTAGAGATGTGAATGTTGCACCTCTTGTTTCTGTGGTTTAATACTCTCATAAGTGTCAGATTACACCAAGGGATCGTTGAAGCCTTGAGGGCGAAGACTTAATGGCTTATTATCACTCAAGAGGGTGTTAAACCAAGGATTAACACAACTCAAAGAACATCTAATCTAAAGCAATTTAACTCCTGGTGTTTATTTACAGTAAGGGATTCATTACAGGATAAATAGCTGGATCATTGGTTATGAAAAGAAGACAAAAAACAACTACCAGCACTTCTGTTTGGGATGGCAAACTTGTAAGTTTTAACACTGGGAGGAAATAAAAAATCAATAGGTTAAACATTACTCCAGATTATATAACAAATTGATGTTAAACTTGGAAGAGTAGGGAATATCTGTAGCTCAGGGTTGAAGTCTGGGGTCCTGGAGGCTCTGGTAGTTTTCCTGCAGACGTTTCAGGGGCCAACTAGGTAACATCATCAATGCCAGAAGGAAGTGGGAGTCTGTAGAGGAGGACAACTCCAGGGTCTTTGGTACTTTTTAAGCTTAGTTGTTTTGTTGCAGACATCACAGACACAATCAGTGCTACTTGAAGCTTAAGCGTTGAAATTGGTTGGCATGGATGTCAGCATTCATATCTCAGGACCTAAAATGGACACCTAACATCAAAAACATCATCAAAAAAGCACAACAAAGAAGGTTCTTTCTGCGCCAACTCAGGAAGCTCAAACTGCCCAAGGAGCTGCTGATCCAGTTCTCCAGAGGAATGATGGAGTCTGTCATCTGCACCTCTATCACTGTCTGGTTCGGTTCTGCAACCCAACAGGACAGACACAGACTTCAGAGAGCGATTAGGACTGCAGAAAAAATACAATGGCTACCAACCTGCCTTCCGTGGAGGACCCGTATACTGCACCCTGAGTCAAAAATAGGGCTGTGAAAGTATCTACAGACCCCTCACATCCCGGACATAAACTGTTTCAACTCCTTCCCTCAAAACGACGCTCTAGAGCCCCGCACACCAGAACAACTAGACACAAGGAGAGTTTTTCCCCGAATGCCATCACTCAACTACTCTACTCTACTCTACTCTACTCTACTCTACTCTACTCTACTCTATTCTATCATTCAGATTGTGGAGGCTAGTGATGTTACCTAGTTGAGTAATGAAAGGTCTGCAAGATCACAGAGCACCAAGGACCCCCAAACTTGGAACAGACTTAAGTATAATATGGGTGCCCCCTCCCCAAGAGTCTTCAGCCATGGATCCCAGGTGGTTTTCATGTTCTCATGTTTTGATGTTCCGGTAGGAATTTTTGGCTTCTCCAGAGAAAGGAGAAGAGACGGCACCCCTTCTCCATAAGGATCTTGCAAGTTTCTGGAAGCCAGACGTTAGGTAGGGCAGGTCTGTTTTTCTCCCCTCCCACCCACCCCATATTGTCATGTTGAAATATTACCCTTCATTTCATAATAGTTGCAAATCTACGTTCCCCATTTCGCTTTTTTTTTTTTCCATTTCAAGATTATTCATTCCACTCCCTTGCTGACTCATCCATAACATGAGAACCTTCAGGGTTTCCACTGTGACTTCCATTTGAACCAGGATAGGTGTAGATAACTGGGTATCATCTACAGACTGATGACATGTCATCCAGAAGTGGTGGATGACTAATTTTAGTGGTTTCACACAAATGTAACAGAGGTTACAGATGAGAAGACCAAGACCTGAGACACCCAGAATGGCAACTCACTTGACCTCCCACTTGAAGAGCACAAACATTATATAATATGGTGCATTCAACTTGGAACCTACAGTACAGCAGAGGTCCGCAAACTTGGCAGCTTTAAGACTTGGGGACTTCAACTTCCAGAAGTTGGAAGTCTTCAACTTCCAGAAGTTGAAGTCCACAAGTCTTAAATTTGCCAAGTTTGGGGACCCCTGCAGTATAGAATAATAGGGTTGGAAGGGACCTTGAAGGTCTTCTAGTCCAACCCCGTGCTCAAGGCCATTCTGGACAAATGGCTGTCCAACCTCTTCTTGAAAACCAGCAACGGAGCCCCCCACAAATTAACCCACTGATTAATATGCACCAATCAGGCAATTTCTGCTTAATTCTACATTGGATCTCTCTTCGATAACTTTCCATCCATTGCTTCCTGTTCAGCCTTCAGGGGCTTTGGAGAATAAATTGACCCTCTCTACTCTGTGGCAGCCCCTCAAATATTGGAAGATTGTATTATGTCACTCCTAGACCTTCTCTTTCTCATACTAGATACTCCTGGTTCCCTCAATTGTCTTCCGGTTTGTCTTCCTACATCATTTTTGACAGATGGCAGTCCAGTCTCTTCTTGAAAGCCTCCAGTGATGATGAAGCTCCCACAACTTCTGAAGGCAACTTCTGTTCCATGGGTTGATTGTTCTCACTGTCAGAAAATTCCTCCTTATTTCCAGGTTGAATCTCTCCTGGATCAGTTTCCATCCATTGTTCCTTGTCTGGCCTTCGGGTGCCTTGGAGAATAGCTTGACCCCCCTTCCTCCTCTCTGTGGCAGCCCCTCAAATATTGGAAGGCTGCTCATTGTATGGTTTAACCTCCAGCTCCGCCGCCTTTAATCCTCTTTGTTGCTCTTCTCTGCACGCTTTCCGTGGTCTCAACATCTTTTTTTTGTATCATGGTGTCCAGAATTGGATGCAGTATTCCAAGTATGGTCTTTTCCACTTCCAAATCTTGGAAATTATCAAAAAAAAAAAAAAGTCTGGCCAAAACCGCTTGAGAACCTAAGCGAGACTAAAATGAGTCAGTTTTGTCACCAGTGAAGCTGAGAGATGAGATGCCAGTTTTGGAATCCTGTGTGGTGTGTGTGGGGGGTCATTCCAGGACTTTTTTTCTGGGGTGGCCAGACGTCCCTCCACACTCCACCACCCTTAACATTCCTTAACAAGGGGGAGAAGGCAGTGACCCATAATCTGAAGCAAAAATTCATGCTTGAGTTGGAAGCTGCTTCGGTGTATCGGGCGCCTTTTCCTGGTTGCTGATGGCTGTTTCGGCAGTGGATGTGTTGTCCTGAGAAAGAGGTTTAACGCCCTGCGAGGAAGAGAAAAATCCCTTTTCATCTGTTCATGGTCATGTCTGTAGCTCTAAAGCAGGGAGTTCTCAAACGCGGCCACTTTAAGAGTGGAAGACTTCAAACTCCCAGAATTCCCCCGGCTGGGAGTTGAATTCTGGGAGTTGAAGTCCTCGAGCCTTAAAGTGGCCATGTTTGGAGAGCCGTGGCCTAAAACCTCGAGCAGCTGTTGGTGGAGCGAAAGAATCGAACTACAGCAGTGCAATTTTAAAGTCAAAAGCCATTTTTATCCACTCGCCTCTGTCATGGCTGCCAAGATAGCAAAAGGAAGGCAGGATTTGCTGCTGCTAATATTCCTGCAGCTTCTGGCTCTTGGGGCCAGCAGCCCTCTGGTCAAGACGGGGACTCTGTCCATCCCTCCTGCAACACACCATTTCTGCTCTGAAGATGAGCCATCCTTAACAGGCAGTCCTCGACCTACGACCATAAGGCAGGCTGCCCATTTTGGTTGCATGTGACAATGGTCATAAAATGGGTTGCTTGTGGGACCAACCTGGGTTTACAACTTTTGCAGTGGCCGTTAGGTAAATAACAGTGCTTGTTGACAAAACCAGTGATTGTGGCTATGGCAGTGATGGCTAACCGAGTGCCCAAAGTGAGTGCACACGCACCCCCCAGAATGCAAGATGTGTGTGTCACCTGCGCATGCATCCTGACCCCTGCACATGCACGGCAGAGACCCAAGGAACAGCTGGCTGGCATGAGGTGTGCGCTGTCAACTCGTAAAGCATTCCTTGCCTTCTCTGGAGTTGCCATAGGTAGGAAGTGGGGAAAATCGATGGAGCAGTAGCCACAACCAGAACCACATTCCACGGATACCTTCTTCAAGGCTGTATCCCAGGCTGCCAGGGACCAACTGGAGAGGCGTGATTTCTACAGGCTGCGAAAGTGCTAGTTGGAGGATGGGATTTATGACACACCTTGGGAGGGGGGGCAACAGGGTCATGGGTGGGCCGTAAATTACGTCAGGCAGAGCTGACCTCATTTGGGTATGTGCCAACATGTTGCTCCTAATAAATAACTGGAATTCTTTTGAAACTTGGCTTGAGGCTCACGGTTTTAATTAGGGCATCTGTTGGAACCCTGACACAGGTAGGCATGTGCAGCGGAGCTGAGCTGGGGTGACGGCTCGCATGCCCACAGAGAGGGCTCTGTGTGCCACCTCTGGCATGCGTGCCATTGGTTTGCCATCACGGGGCTGTGGACACAGTCTGGCCAAGAACCAGAAGTCCTGGGTTTTTTTTGGCAAAACTATCATAAAATGTGTGATATCTCCTGTGGACGACGGCTCCTCCACGTCTTCAACAGAGGCCTCGAGGGAGAATGAGAGTATTCCTGGCACGTCTGGTATTGCTGATCCTGAGCTGCCGGCAGAACATGCCTCGGCTGGTGGGAGCTCACAGGCCAATGAGGTAGAGGGGGAGGAGCTGCCGGCCTTGGTAGATGCAAGAGCACACATGGCAGAGAGGCGGAGATCTGCTAGACTTGAGGGGAAAAGGCTCCGCCCCTCTTTATGGGCTGCACGGGGAGGGGCTATTTAGCACAGCAGGCAGAGGGAGGTGTTGCTGGAAGCAACGTGTGTGGGTTGTAGCCAGATGGTTGTTTGTGTTCCCGCAACTCTGCAGCTCATGGATTTAATTCAGTTCCAGAGAGTTCTTTCAGGGGTGGGATACGACAGGGTTAACTACCGGTTTGGGATTTACGAGCTTCTCTGCACGCTGCGAGCCGCGTGCCTGTAAATCGTCATCAGCATGCTGTGTGCAGAGAGGCGGCCTTTGAAACAGCCCTCTTTTCCTGCTTTTTAAACTGCAGCTGTGCCTCGTTCGGCAGCTGAAGTTGAAAAATTAGGAAATAAAGATCAGGTAAGAGCCCAGGCGGGCGGGCGGGTGAGCAAAAACATCAGTAGACATAGAACCGGTTCTATGTCTGCTGCTCTTCAGAGCTACCAGTTCTATAGAGGTGGATAGAACTGGTAGAAACCCACCCCTGAGTGGTTTAAATTAAATTGGCCTCAATTGGCCATTGCCTGGAAGGTTAGTCTGGAGCTTGTTTGTGGCTGGCTTTGCTGAAAACAACCCCCTGCATTCCTGGCTTGGATAATTCCTGTGACTTCTCCTTGCAAGCTCTGAAGCTCGGACCACTGGACTTGTTGACAAACCTCAGTAGAGGCCGTGGACATTGGAGGGCTGTTTATTTTTGGAACCTCCCCCGGGCAAAACCTTTATTTCCAAGCCTGTTTTTGGTTTGGCTGTAAGTTTGTTTTGCTTTCGGGTATCTACTTGGTCACGAGCCAATGACTGTGGCTAAGTTTGCACGTGTGGATGAATGGAGGCAGCACATGTGACTGTGGGATCCTTCGAACAAAGCCACAAATGTGGCCTTGTTATCGAACAGCTGAACTTCAGTCATGCAGTTGTGGAAACAGCCTGACCGTTGGAACTGTGTTGTAAGTAGCCCCAAGGTAGGTTTGTTAAACACTTGTTAAGCAACTCCTAAGTTGGGGGCTCTATTTCTTATGTCAGCTTTGGAAGCCACATTGAGATCCGGTGCTCCCACGCTGCCACAATTGGGCCTGGGAAAGTGGGAGGGGGGAATTCATTGGAGTAGATCTAGTTAGACATGACAACATTCTTTTTCTGATTCAAGGTCAGGTGGTGTTGCGCATAGTGAAAGGAAGTCTTACTTTGGGACGGACGGCGATTGGGCCATGGGATGTGGTGATGGGTGCAGGGGATGGAGTTGTAGTTTTTACTGATTGTAAGGAAGCCCAAAACTTTCAGATTCGGGATTCCACAGTTGAGCCAGTTACTATCCAAATAAAAATAACTTTTGAGAGATGTCTGTCTCGGAGTTATCGGCTGGAATGGAGGTTTGCTGGAACGCGGTTATATGTGGGGTTGTATTTCTTGGCGTTAGGATATATGTGGGAGATACTGGGTCATAGTGACCCAAACGGAACTGGTTAATGATCCATTGTGCTTCGATGGACATAACAGAAAGACATAGCAATGAGAAAAAGGGTAGTTTCCAAAGACAAGGAAACAGGTGTTACGCTATGGGTGTGGCGTAGGGAGATACATACTTGGATAGATTGTGAACCCAGGACAGAGGCAGAGATTGTATATTTGAACCTATATATAAACCCCAGCCCTCCTGGGGAAAATGTCTTCTGCCATGAGCAGCAGAATTCCTTTTTGCAAAAACTTAATAATAAAGCTCTTGTTCACCGTTTCCAGTTGTTGTTTTTTTGCTATTATTATCACAAACGCTGACATTTTATGCTATGCAGAAGACCAGGCAAAGGTGGGAAAGGGAACGGGACTCCCATCCCCCCACAGGGCATAACTGGATTACCTCGGGAAGGAAGGTGACCTCTGCCGTCTGTTCCACCGAAGGACCCACCTCATTGTCGGAGTCTGAAATGAGAATTAAGCCCTGTTCATGGCCAGGATTGGAGAATGGATGCTCCACCTAAAGGGACCATTACATGTCCTAACTGAGGCTGCCGGGAGTTGGAAGTCGGCAAGGTTGGGTCTCCTCTGCTCTGATTTACAATAGAGGAGGTGACCAGGCTGAGCCCAAGGGAGGGAGGAGTCAAGCCAGTCCTCAGCCTCGAGTCCCTTTGTGCTCACAAAATCCCATCCAAGTCCCAAGATCCAAGTCCCATCTTGAGTTCCGCTAATTCTTATCTGCTACCAATTTGCTTTGAACCATTAGTTGGCCAGATTCTTGTCGAGAGTTGACCTTGCAATAAACCTATATCCATGATGGCAAACCTATGGCATATGTGCTATAGGTGGCACGCAGAGCCATTTGTTCGAGCACATGAGACCAAGCCAAACTTACCCGCACTGAGCATGCGTGCGCCTCCCAGCTGATTTTCGGCCCTTTTGAGGCTGTTTTCGCCCTCCCGGGCTCAAGGGAAGCCTCTGCAGCCTCGGGAGGCCGAAAAATGGGCCTTCCAGAAATACTGGAAGTGACGAAATGGGCCTGTTTTTTGGCCTCCCAAGGCAGCAGAAGCTTCCCTCAAGCCTCCAGGAGGGTGAAAATGGCCTCAAACGGGCCCAAAATCAGCTGGGAGGTGCATGCATGTGCAGTGCAGCTAAGGGGGTGAGGCAGGGGTGTTGCGCGTGCATGCATGGGGGGGTGGGGTGCATTGCATCATGGGTGCCGGCATGCATGCGCATGCACTATTGCGCGTGCACACGCTTTCAGCACACCACAACAAACAGTTTTCACTATCGCTGACCTATATATTCATTTAAACTGCCTGGACTTCCTGATTATTGTGCCCATCACCCTCTTTGCTGCTACATGAAAGTACAAACAAACAAACTCCTGATTTGCAGTACCCCAGAGCGGTACCCCATCCCGGCACCCAAGAAATGTGAACGTGGCCCAGCCGTGGCTCCGGATGAGGGCCGTGGCTACGAAGGTGACATACCCGAAGACTCGTTGATGGATTCCATGCTGCTGTGTATTTCTGTTGGACGGGAAAGAAAAGAGAGAGGTGAATTCTTTGGAGGATCTGCTGTTTGCGGGCACGCTGGGCTGCTGCAGGCGTTATCTGGGGCACCCCCACCCCCTGACCATCATCCTGCCCCTGGCCAGGACCGCTGGTTAGTTCACTGGCTAGTTGTCGCGCCCCTGTCAGAATCTGATTCGGAGGGAGGCCAAGCAGCTGACAGGTAGTGAGAGAGTGGCTCCGTGGGCTGTGGAAGAAACTGGGGTGTTGTTTTTTTTTACTACCGGTCCTGTGGGCGTGGCTTGGTGGGCGTGGCAGGGGAAGGATACTGCAAAATCCCCCTTCCCTCCCCACCCCACTGACCTGCTTTCCAGCTCCGTTCTCCTGTGCAGGGCAACCAAAGAAGACCCAGCCAATCAGTTGAGACTCAGGAGGCGGAGAAGAGATGGGGTTGGCAGGGCCAGTCAGAGGCGGTATTGGTTGGTTCTCTGAACTACTCAACATTTCCGCTACCGGTTCTCCAGAACTGGCCAGAACCGGCTGAATACCACCTCTACCCATGGGGCTGGCACAGGCACTGTGGGCCGGTCCCTTGATATTCCCAGGCCGACCCCGCGGGCCAGGTTTAAGCCTTGAGTTTGACACCCCTGCCCTATTATACTATCTCAGACAAGTGGCTGTCCAATCTCTTCTTAAAAGCCTTCAGTGATGGAGCAGCCACAACTTCTAGAGCCGGGTTGTTCCACTGGTTAATTGTTTTCACTGTCACGAATTAGTTCTTCGGTTCTCCTTGATGCGTTTCCATCCGTTGCTTCCTGTCCTGCCTTCCGCTGCTTTGGAAAATGGCTTGACCTCCTTTCTCCTTTGTGGCGGCCCCTCAAATATTGGGCACCCGTCGTCCTTCTTTTCACTAGACCGGACACCCCCAATTCCTACGACCGTGCTTCGTATGTTTTAATAGTGAATACTAAACCATTTGGCAAATAAGCATCCCTGCTAAAGAAAAAAGAAAAAAAAGGGACTTCTCACCTCTTCCTCTTTTCCGTCTGTACATTAAGAAGAGAACCAGCAAGATCACAAGAACGATGAAAGGTGGGACGATATATTTCGCATAAAAAGATGCCGAGAGGTATTTGCTGGTGATAGGTGGATCTGTAGGAACCCCAAATAAAAGCCAAGTCAGTTAGATCTAAGCCAGCTAGCAAAATTGCTGAGTGGTTTAAGCATTTTTATGAAGTATCATTTATGACAGGGGTCTCCAACCTTGGCAACTTTAAGCCTGGAGGACTTCAACTCCCAGAATTCCCCAGCCAGCAAAGCTTTGGCCCGTTTGAGGCCTTTTTTGCCCTCCCGGAGGCTTGAGGGAAGCCTCTGCAGCCTTTGGAGGCCAAAAAACGGCCCCTTTGGCACTTCTGGTTTTGGCACTTCCAGTATTTCTGAAAGGCCCATTTTTCAGCCTCCAAAGGCTGCAGAGGCTTCCCTCAAGCCTCCAGGAGGGCGAAAAAGGCCTCAAACGGGCCAAAACTCAGCTGGGAGGTGCGTGCATGCGCAGTGCAAGTCAATTTGACTAGGGCTTGCGTGCCCGCACAAATGGGTCTGTGTGCCACCTGTGGCATGCGTGCCATAGGTTTGCCATCACGGATCTACGATGTGCACAGTTTCCCAGTTGAGACTATGGTTGAGTCTCTTCCAGTGTTGGGAGATTAAAGAGTTTTCCTTGTGTCTTTTGACTGCTAATAGCCGTTCATTGATGTGCTCTGCGTCTTCTACCTGTCTGTCTCGTGGATCTTTCACTGTAGGTTGTGGATGATTTTTGCTTTTATCTTTTGGGATAGGGGCTCTTTCGGTTTACTTAAGATGCTTTGGGGAGGGGGGGGGGGGCTTTAGCCGGTTTCTGTTGGCAGATAGAAAAATGGCCATCAGTTATATCTGCAGAGTCCTTTGAGGGTGAACAAGGAGCATCTAGGAGCATTTAGCCCAGAGTCACGTTGGGTAATGAGAGGAGCGATGCATACAAGTAATAAATAAATATTTACAAATATCATAATTATAAATATCATAAATCTCCATCTTCTTCTAAATGGGTGTTTTTGACTGGCATGGCTGCTGCATCAGCCACATTTGTGAGCTTGCCCTCACAATGTCAAAATGTGCACCCCCAGACGTTGCCCTACCCCTGGGCAAAACCCTCCGGTGCCTTAACCTCACCCGCTTTTGTACCAGAAGCTGCGCTCACCCTGGCAATGCTTCTCCAACGAAACCACGCTAGAACTTTCACCCGCCTGGCTGCGAACGATGCAGACGTAATCCGGGGCGCCCTGCGGAGGCTTCTGGACAACGTTCAGCGTCTGCGCCGTGGAGAGAACCACGCTGCCGTTGACCTGGAACCAGGTGTAATTCAGGTCGCCGGCTTCCTCTTCTGGCACGGCACAGCTCAGGAGGGCCTGGCAGGTCCCGTTCTTGGCATGGACGGTGATGGTTGGGGCTGTCAGCTTCCCTGGAGGAGCCCAGGAAGCGGGGGACAGTTAGTACAGGGGTGTCAAACTCAGGGGGGGTAAATCTGGCCCATGGGGCCAGCCTGGAAGCAGCAAAAGACCTGTCTGCGATGCCTCTACTGGCCAAAACGGGGGTGGTGGTGCGTGGGGGTCTCACACCCCATTTTTAGCCTGGATGGACTTCTGCAGCTCTGCCAGCCAAAACGGGGCATGGTGGGGGTCCATGCGGGGGGCCCCTGTGCCCTGTTTTTGGCCTGGACGGCCTCCTGCAGCAGTCTGCCAGCCTCAACGGAGCGTGAACGGCCCCTGCGTGGCCCCTGCACTCTGTTTTGGCCAGCAGGGGGGGCTGTAGGAGGCACCTGTCCCATCTCTACCCCACCCTCCCTTGGCTGGTCCGTGGAGAAGTACGAGGCTGATGCAGCCTTCGAAGGAATCCAGTTTGACACCCTTGAGTTAGTAGATGAAAGTCGCTGTGATGTGGGGGTGATGTTTGGGGGAGGAGGAGGAGGCCTCCATTTTAAAACTCTAAGCTTCTCTTTGAAAGTATTTCCAAAATCAATCAATTCTACTACAGCTTTTTAAAAAACTTCCTTTTAGAATAGAAATAGAAATAATAGAAATAGAATAGAATAGAAAATAGAATAAGAATTGGAAGAGAAGAGAAGAGAAGAGAAGAGAAGAGAAGAGAAGAGAATATAGAAGAGAATAGGATGTATATAAAAATAGAAGAGAAGAGAATATAAAATATAGAGACTAGAATGGAATGGGACTAGACTAGGACTAGGACTAG